CATAAAGGTTTCATATACTTACCTTAAGTTAGTCGAAAAACAATTATTAAAAGGAGAAGATGTTTCTTAAGTTTGTTATTCCAACAAATGTTATGAATAACTTATTTTGCAAAATTACACCATAATTGACTTTATTTTAAGAAGATAATATTCACAATTCACAAAAGGAGAAGATGTTTCTTAAGTTTGTTATTCCAACAAATGTTATGAATAACTTATTTTGCAAAATTACACCATAATTGACTTTATTTTAAGAAGATAATATTCACAATTACGAATAAACTGTCTTTGGTTTTTGTTGCCACGGACTTATCTCAGAAACTCAATTGTCTTTCGCCCACTCAATGCCTTCAGAATGTTGCCCATTTATGGTTTAAGTAGATCACGTTGAAGTCCCACTAGACACACACTCAATTCATTTGTTTATTTGCCTTATTGCATGCGTAGATACATAGGATATAGATGTGTATACACATATTGTAAGCTTTGGCGCAAGCGATTGCAACAACAACAACTAAAGCGCCCATATCTCGGGGGGGTTTACTATATAAAGTATACACTCGGTACGAGAAAAACTGTCTTCTGGATGAGTAAATGGAGTCGGAACGCTCGAGATAAGCCTTTGAAGGCAGACCAAACAAATAAATAAACAAACAAAGAGAGTTGCCCGCAACAGGCAGAACAACAACAATAACAATATACTCAACAACAGCAGCAATAATAACAACAACAGCGATGAGAAACCATCAATAAACTTTCAACAAGTCAATTTCCGTTGAGCAAGGTGCGGTCAGAGGCGTTGGCAAAGGGGTTAGGCGGGAGGCGGAAAGCGGAAGGGAGACTAAATAACAAACTTTATGAAGTGCAAAACGGTCTGAGCAATCACACCTGACTGAAAATAAAAGCGAAATATCGATCGGTCACGACCAGTTTCGTCAATCTTTTTCCCAAAGAAAAGGAACAGATCTGTCAACAAATAATAGTACAAAGAGATAAATTATGACTATTAACCGAGAAAGGTAGTTGCATAACTCTATAAAGAAACACATATTTACATATCAAAAGAATACAAAGTATACCAGTTGTTAATAGCTTCATTTAGGTAAAAACTTTAAACTATAATAAACCTCACACTTAACGATAGAAAACTAACTTGGACACGTCCGATTACGGAGGTTAGTTAATAAACTAGCGATAGCTAAAGCCGTCAGCACTGTCTACGAGTCAGAAGTTGGGGGAGTGTATTTGTCAGAGACATGGGAAATGTGCATTTCGCCAAAGTATGACGCATCGCGTAAACAAATGGGGAACTAAAGCCCTGACGATCTGAGTGATCTTCTATTGCTCACCTTGGTCGCGATTCTGCTTGACCACGGCGCGTATCTGCAGCTCCATTATGCGCCGCAAGTACTGATCGATGTGACTCATCATCTCCATCGTGTACATTTCAGCCATTGGCGAGCACTGGCGGTTGCGATCGCAATTACCACTTATCAGACAATGATATATATATATATATATTTTTATGCGGCGGACGAAGTGGTCTTAACGGATTTGCGGCCAGGCCAATTAGCCTTGGTAGTGCACTGCCAGTTGGCCACTTTCAAAAAGCAGGCCAGGCACCGAGCGCGGCGATTTTAGCACTGAACGGTGATAACCGCGATCGCCTTATCAGTATATTTGAGCTTATCAATACTGAGAGAGGGTGTGCTGTTCAGCAAGAGAACTTTTGAAAAAACAACAACAATATTTAAAAAAATACAGACAAGTTTACAGGGTGATCCATCAGGTGGTGTTAATAATTAACATTAAAATAAATCTAATATGTTTTATTTGCTTTTCGGTACTTGTGATTAGCTAAGTTTTAAAGTAAATATATCAGACAATTTTTTAAATTTTAAGTTTACGATATTAACATGATATTGAAATGGTCATGTCATTAGTTCTTATATGGAATATACCATAAATACAATTATTAATTGCCTCAATAAACAATAAAAATGTAATAAAAACAACAACAATTATTGCATACAAATTTGTTTTTTGGCGGATGGTTAAAACGGAATAAACATCATATGAAAGGGGAAATATTATTTTCCATTATATTTTTTTGAAATCGAAAATGCGAGTGCTTTCAAAGAACTAATAATTAAAATTCCAAGAAACCATTAAATATTCCAGTTTCAATTGCTGATTATATTTTCTTGTTAATTTCAAGATTTATGGGAAGTTTTCTAAATCTAGAGAGCGATAGCATGCCGCGATTGATTTGACCGATTGGCACAGAATTCCCAACTGTATCATTGTTCTATGCATCATACTTTTCACATTTTATAGACTTTCTTATCGAGCAAATACAATTAATTTGACCAAGCTTTATGACTAGTTTTGTGGTTTTGTGGATCATTCCCGCGGGAGTACATGTGTACTCTATCTTATCGTGTTCTAAAAATCGGTCAAAACGTTGGTCGGCATCTTCTTTAACGTTTCTTCGCTCCTAGACAACAGGCAAACGATTTGGCCGATGATTTATGGGGTCGATCGCCGGCGACAGGTGTCCAAACAGTAAAAATTAAATTAAATAAACATGAAATGGAGCCAAGCCAGGCAAAGACAGCGACAGGGAAATAATGACAACAGAACCCGGTCCAAATTGCATAAATCAGGCAGCCGATCTCGCCCATTATATAATGCCCAATTGGGTTTCGGGTGCAGCCACCGCCTCCGAGCGGAATCGAGTTTATTTTGGACAGCCAACTGGAACCGAAGCAGCGCTGCGCTACCAGCGCCGTCATAAATAAAATTGTCAATGCTCAACTTGGAGCTAGTGCTCCAGATTCCGGTGGATTCCCCTGCAGTTGCTGCAGCTGCCGTTGGAATTAAAACATTTCGTAAATGATGGGCATTGAGGTGATTGTGCAAGGCCCTGGCCCGGCCCGCCCAGCCACTTAATCAGAGCTCGTTAATTGGCAGACGGGAAGCAAACTCTGTTCTGGAGCCAAAATGGGACAGAACAACAAGACGGATGGATGGGATGGGTATTTCAGGTGGTGGGTACCAGCGGACAGGTAGAGCAAACAAACCAGCTAGCGAGCAAACAAACAGCAAAAGGTGTCAACGCCCACACCTGGGAACAGGAGTCATGGATGGAAACATGTAGCTGGTAGCTGCTAGGAGCTAAGAACTGTCAGCGTGGGGCAGGAGCTGGTTCTGGAGCAGGAGGAGCTGACAAAGTTGCTGTCACTGCACTCAAATTAAATTACTCAGCATGGCGACGAGTTGGGGTTAAATTCCTGATGACAGGCACTGTGGTACCACGGAAAGGGATTTCAGGGGTGAATATCAGAAAAATTGTACAACATGTTATATAGTAATGTGCAATATAACGAATTGAAATCGACAACTAGGTTAATTATACAGTTTTCATAATATTTTGTTATTAAGACAAAGGGACTGCTATCAGGCCTGAATAATTTATTATACCCTTTCCATATAGTATATTTTGTGCATACAGCACCAATTAAAATGAATTTATTAGCTCAGCGTTATCAGTCAATTAAAATTAATAATTATCTTGCTGTGTAAACGGGTTCAATTCCCCCTTGAGCAACGGGAATTCCAGTCAAAACAGTTCTGAGGCCACAACAATGTATAAGTGGAGCAGCAGCAGCTCTTCCGGTTTTACCCAGTCGATTCGGAACCAATGTGGATGGCCCCACGGAGGATGACTGAGATTGGGCCAGACACCTGTCATGGGGCATGCCGCCGCCGGGTGATTCGGCCTTTGTCAGATCGCTTTTCACGCCCCGCGGAGATGGCAACCACGAGCCGCCGAGCGTTAACCGATTTCCGTAGGAACCAGAACTTTAATTGGTAACCATGTGGCTTGTTTATACATATTTGTGTGGAAATAATGCTTACTGGCAGCGAATGCACAATGGGACTGTCTGTTTGTTTACTGTTTTCCCCCATTCACACTGATATCAATATCGGGCGGGGGCTTTGGCTTTGAATGTCATTTATATGGAAACCCTTGCTGACTTACTGCTTTTTATATTTACCAAAAGTGTTGCTTTATGTACTTTCTTAATATTTTATTTTTGTTTTATTTTCGCTTATCGTGTGCGCGGTCTATTACGATTTCCACTTTCTGACTTTGGCATTGCTTTGCGTTTGCTTTCAGCTCAATTAAATATCACGGAATCATCACCAGACGAACTTTCATAACTCGAAAAGCCATTTTATTATATAAAATGCAAATTTATTCGCAAGTACGATATCTTTTTCCGGTAGTGGGTTTTCAGATTGAATTTAAGACAGGGTTAGCAGGTAATGAGAGCCTATTTTATAATTGAAATAGTGAAAAGTGATAAAATAATGAAATAAATTTAATAAATTAAGGACCTATTAAAGGACCTATGTATATAAATTAAGTAGCAAAGCAAATGTTAATAAGCCAACTTTACACGTTAATGAATACAAAGTGTGTTAAAAGGGCCATAAAAACAGTGACTAATGACCCCTTTATACATATATTGATATATACAAATATGTAGGTTTATTAATAAAAATGCTGCTATTGCAAATAAATTTCCTCTCGACATAAATTGTTTCAAGTTAAAAAACATTAATTAAAACCTACTCCAATGCCAGGGTTTTAGAGCCACTGACCACCTAGTAGCTGCCAAACTGCAAGTGGGTGGGAGTTTCGCAGCGGGCGGGTGGAAATGTCACAGAGTCGGCGAGAGTGTGTGTGTGTGTGTGCATGTGTTTGGGGTGTCGCATTGAGGAAAACGGAAGCCGGCGGCCCAAACATAAAAGTAAAGAGCGAAAACAAAACGTCGGCGCTTGGGAAGGGGGAGGGGATGCACTCATCTGCATCTGCATTTGTTTTTGTTCATGCGTGGCTCAAAACAAAGAACGGATAAAGCGCGAAGGAGGAGGAGGAGGAGTGGGAGGGGAAGCAGGGGGGAGTACAAGAGAGAGCGACGATTACTCACCGTTGAGGTCCTTGGTTAATTGCGAGCGCGTCGACATTTTGTCTTCCGAAATTCTCTGGCGAAAGTGGCGAACAGCGAGCCGGAGTGAAAATGAAGTCAAACAGGAATAACCAGGAAAAGGGCCAACGAATTTGGCTCAAAGCAGCCGCCGCTGCTTGATGTTGCTTGCGCTGCTGCTGCTGCCGCTGCCGCTCCTGCTGCTGTTTTCAGTACTGTTGTTGTTAGTGTGGTGGTGGTGGTTGGATTTCAATCCTGATGACACGCCTTGCAGCCCGAAACTGGATTTTTGAGCTGCTCCCGCACTGAAAATCGCCGATCGGACATTCCGCTTCTTTTCGCCACTTTTTTTTTTAACAACTTTTATTTTCTCTTCTGCCGAATTTTATTCACTATCATTTTTGCACACACACTCACGATTTTCGTTTCGGTTTTTCACGCGTTTCCACCCTCGTCGCGGGGTCGGAAAACTCGGAAAAGTCGCACTCTCGCCGAGACGCCGCCGCACAGACAGCCGTTGGATTTTCCCCCAGCACTTTGCCTTCAACCTTGCTGTCTCCGCGCTGTGAATTTTCCGTTGATTTGCCTCCTCGTTTCACTTAGCACTTGACACTTCTGAGTCGGCCAAATCGGTCAAATTTGAATTAATGACTGCAAACTAAACTAAGTCGGGCGAAATTTCACGAAACAACAACAAAAAGTGAGTGTGACCACCCGGGCTTAGGTGGAGAAACATCGGAGGCTTTGTCCCTAAAAAATCTCTAATCCCGGGGAACCCTTAAATTCGATATTTGTTTATTTTCAAACCACAGCCACACTTAAACTCCACCTGATACGCAAACCACACCTGATATTTGAATCACATCTTATACTACAACCTCTGGTTCGTCGCTCATGAACGAAAAGTCTGGCAGCGTCGGAACGCGACTAAAAGTACCAGATCGTCCAAGCATTAACAACTAACGTTGCCAAACTTTTCGTTCATACGTCGAAATGGAACAGTGGGACAAGGAACACGGAAATATTTTTTATTTATTTCGTAAATAAAGAAATTTAATTAATAATGTTTATTATATTAGAATATTAAAATCTTTTTTATACGATTCAACTTTCTTTTTTTTTTTAATTTATTCAAATTAATATGTATATGCTATGTATAAATATACAATTTTTATATATATTTCTTGTTATTTATTCTATTAAATTGACCAGAATGAATTGATCCAATTGCAAACTGCAAGGGTATACAAACTTCGGTGTGCCGAAGTTAGCTTCCCTTCCTGCTTATAGTTAGATTTCCTGGTTCCAAAAATAATATATAAATTCATTCATATTCACAAACAAATTAAAAAAATAAATTTATAATATTGTTAAAAAATAACCTGGTTACATTTTATATATTTTTTCAATTATTATTTAAATATTTCCTATATTTGTTTAACTTTTATAAATATGTTAAACAGTAAACTGGTTAAATCTTATATTAAAAATATTACTGTAAAAATGAAAGAAAAAATTCATTTGGCTGTCATTTATTGTTGTTTATTGATCAAATTTGGCACACCAAAAAATATAAAACAAAAAATAACTAAATAAATTTGCATATAAATTAATATAAGTGTTTTTACAGTTAATAATACATTACAGTTAATAATAATTTTGATGCCGAAAGCTTTGCTTTTTCATTATTGAAATATCGTTAAATTGAATGACTATAAAATTAGTCAAAATGTCGTTACTTGGGGTGACAATTGTCGTTCTTTAAAACTAATTATTCCAATTTTACGTTAATCAAGGTACATTAAAATATTATGTATTATAATAATATATAACTAGGGTAAACAAAAAATTATAATAATTGAAAAGGTCAGAATATAAATTAATGAAATGTATGCTGTTACTATTATTTTGACCGGTGGTGCATGTACTCTATCAAAAATGGTTTAAAACTAGGGTAAAAATGCTCTTAGCCAAGACAAGAACCAAATGTAGAGCGAATACTGCACGATAGGTGGCGCTGTATTCGTTCAATGTCCACCAGTATAATTTTAATTTAAAAAACAAGTCTGAAAAAGTTAAATTAAATGCTATATGCATTTAAATTTGTATATAATTTTCGAGTAATAATTAATGTTTGTAGTGGACCAGATAATACTATAAAGAATATAAAAAAATATATTTTAAATATATTTAAACATTTTGGGGTTTTTATTTAAAATTGTTGGGAAATCTAATAACAAAAACCATACTTTAAAGTTATTGTTAAAAGAAAACAAATTGTGTTACATTTTGCAATCCTTTCATTTACAACATTTAAAATAAAACTAAGAAAGTATTGCAATTTTATGATATACCTATTTATCAATAAAACATATGAATTAAATTAATACAAAAATAAACATTTCAAAATTTAAAAAACTATAAGAAAATGATATATTTTAATTAAAAACTCTTTTCCTTCCCTCTGAAATCCCATCAATAAAATCTATTGGAATAGGAAAACTTTTCCAACCAGAAAAGAAAAGGATTCTCGTATCTCTTTAAGGACTTTCGAGTTGACCAAAGGAGAGGCTAACAAAGTCAAACCCCTTTTCCGTGGGCAATAATGAATGCAAACGAAAGTGATTGCAAAAGTTCCTGAAGAACTAAGCGTCTCATTTGGCCCCCGAAAATATGCCAAGTTTTATTTGCTAATTGCAGTAAAGTGAAGCTGAAGTAAGTAAGTCTGCCCGCAAGCCGAGAAAAAGTTCAATTTCAATTGGAGTTTTCCCTTGGCTAAATATACATCTCTTTCTCCGCTGTACATGAAAAACCGCCCTTGGCTGTGACAGTCTCTACAGGAGTCTTTAGAAAATAAGAAAAAAGATAGGATTTTTTTAGTCTGAGTGTTAGGAACACTTGTTCGGGTGAAACAGCAGTTGAATTATTAGGATTTCGAAATTTATAAATATAACGGGGAATTGTAATTCTGCATAAGTTTGGAAATGCAATTAATTGCTTAATATCCACAAGGATTTCTGGGCATTCTCTGATATACGCTTAAAAAAACACAATATAATATTAACTGCATTTCAACAAATCCTTAATTTGCCTAAATATTACTTTTAAAATAATCATTACAGATATAATACCCATTACTAGGGTATAGGAAAAAACCTCCGTCAGCGGCCTGCTCAGCCGGGGTTTCGGTTTCGGGGATAAAAGTTGACTGCCGGCGTTTTTCCGCAAATTTCTTTGTAAGTTTTTCCCCCACCCGGCGGCGACTGTGTGTGTGTGTGTGATTGGGTGTGGAGACCAATGTTGTAATTGAATTTGCGTCAAGTTCTATTAAGTGGCGTAAACTTTTGGCCTCTGGAATTGAACTTGGCTCACCGCATGTGCATTTTTCATATGTTTATCGCAGAGTTGCGATGTATTTGCCGTTCTCTGTTCGATTCCTTTCGATTTTGCTTGACATGTTCGGGGGGCTGGCGGTGTAAAGAAAAGTGAAAAGAAAGGAAAACCAGGATAAGTCTGCGCTGTCAGTCACAGGGTCACATATGCGGGGTTGCCAATGAAGCATTAAATTGTTTCTGGCATTTTACAGTCACAGGAACTTCTGTCCAGGCCCACAATGGCATCTCATCTCTCAACAAAAAATCCCTACAATCCATCTCGGACCCAACCAAATCACAGCAAAATCAAGTCGAGTCCATCAACATCATCATTATAATCAACGTTACCCGGACTGATTTCGTATGCAGGACCACACTGGCCACTCTAAGTTGGATCCTTGTTGCCGGTTTAATTTAGCATATCAAATTTATGCATTTTATTTTGGCAAATGCATTAAATTGTTAATGTTCAGCATTCTGAGGCGAGATCTAGGAGTGAGAAAGGAGATGAATATGTGTCCTTGTGAGGCCGAAACCTCCTTTTGGGGTCACAGCTGCTGCGACGCGGTGAGTTTCAACATCAAATATTAAGATTGTTTGCGACAGCTGGTGGCATCTTTTTTACGCAGACTTTTTTATGTGCTTTTTGCGATTTTTTGTTATCTCATATCACTTGGCACGCTTTTGGCCAAGTTTCAAACGTGTTGACCGAGAAACCAATAAACGTTTTTGTATTGAATATCCTGTTAGTATTTCTTGTAACTAACTCTGAAATTCTCTCAAAAAGCCAATTCTCATTCCCAAAGCGGCGTCAAGCGTATCAATTCTCAGTCCAATTAAAGACCCGCCCAATTGCTTTATGCAAAACAATTTATCAACTTGTCAACATATTAAATGAGACTGGGTTAAAGATTTTGCTGCCGAACTCCTTTCCCCTGTTGCCACACTCACCCACCCACCCCCTTTATGCCATCCAGCCCCTTCAATCCGTCAATTCAATGACTAAACTCCAATAATATGCCAACTGCCAATATTGCGTATACGCAGCATAGTACGTCCATTGTTCCCGCAACGTACCGAATGTTTTGCTAGCTGGGATTTGTTTAGCAGTAAGCGGAAATAGTTGTAGGCCAAAGTGGGCGAGGCAGTGAGAGGGGGGAGGGGAGCCCGAACCGGGAGCATGTTGATGTTGTGTATGTTGTTGAAGTTTATATGCAGGATAACTGTTCAACCAACTGACGTACGTACAGAGCTTGTCCAGAGTTCAGCAGACTGGGGGGTGGGGTGATTGGGGGCAGACGGCAGGCAGGCTCAGTCTGCCATAAAAGCAAATAACTGTCCGGGGTGTGTGTGTGTGTGTTTCAGTTAACCGAACTAGTTGCAGTGTCTGTGTTTGGCCCGCATATATAGATATACATATATCTAATATGTTTGTCCATCAATTGTCCTGTCCAAACTGCTCCCCAAACCGAACTCGAATCCAGTGCAAACATGCTGAAATCCAGATCCTTGACCTGACTTCTCCCCTCCCTGCGGTCGGGCCAAGTCAACATTTCTGTTCCGAGTCAGTTAATAAATATTTTTTATGCCACATCAACGAGCAAAAGTAAATATGCCGTAAAAAAAGACGTCGTCACTGTGTACGGTGAATATGCTTACATATAAAGTCCTGAAGGATCTTTGTTTTGCAGTTTGTTATGGCTTCTGCAGCTGTTGCACTTCTCTCAAGATGTTTTAGGCCTTTTGCTTGTGTTTATTTGCTTATTTGTGGCCACATATGTAAGTTTATTGTTTTCATTATCGGAGGGCTCAGCAATGGCCATTATTGTGGATAAACATGGTTTGCAAGGAATGGAAATTGAAATGTATGGGGCTGGCACCTAAGGTCCAATTGGGGCAACGAAAATTGGGTCTCCAGTGCCAGTCATTAGACTTCGGTAAATATCATTGCGAAAAGAAACTAATTATATTTTTTAAAAAAGTTGTAAGTTGCCCCCTCCTTAAATTGTTTATGCGTCTATTTAGGTCAATTTACTGCTAAACCAGAAAACTTTGTAGAAACCAACCAAGTTGAATCGAAAATTCTCAAGAGTGAAATAATTCAGGCAATGAAGGCCTCACCGAACGCCACCAAAGGAAAAACCTCAGAACACATGTTTCGAAACGGGGGCAATGCCATGCAGCTCCTCAAGGACCACGATAAAGGTCTTCTTTGAGACTAAGAAAGAGAGGGAAGGGAGCCATCTATTAAGGTTTGACATTAGCATGAAAAACGCATTTTTCTTCAAGCGCAAACAATGGGGAAAAAAGTCTGGAATGGAAAACGGTTCGACAGAG